GGATCAGATGTAGCCGCATTGTGAACACCGAGCAATAAATGGGGCAAATTGATTCCGTCTCATATGTATTAATAACACCCAGACACTCTTTAATTTCAGGGGGAAAGGCTGGAGAATCACATTACCCGCACCTCACAATCCATTTCAGGCCCTCTAGACCCCAGGTCGTGTTTCCTAAATTAGTTCTAAATCCCTGCAACGACAGGCTGGGCTCACCCGCCACAGCTGCACCTTCTCCCTTTGTGGACGACTCTGTGGCACCATGAGAGAGTTGGGAGGAGGAGGAGAAAGAGATGAAAAGGGAGTCGTGATACTTCATTAAAGTTGTAAACTTGGCTGAATTCTCCCTCCCTTTTTTCCACCCTTCCCTCACTCTCCACCTGCCATTTCTTACTTGACGCGCTTTACTGTCAACAAGCCGCTGATAGTCTGACAGATATGTGACGGGGAGCTTTGTGACGGCTGCTCAAAACACGGAATATCAAATGAATTCTATTCTCGTTGACGTTCCTCTTCCTTAGCATACACGAGGACCCGCACGTGAAATCTAATTACAGTCTGTAATGGTCTATTGATCACAGTCACTGGCTTCTATCTGTTTTAATGCAGCACTGAGAGAATTACTTTACCAGCCAGGTCCTCAAGCCCTCTCCCCTTTCCTTTATCTCTTTCTCTCCACCTCTTTCTTAAATGGTGTGAGGAGTGCTACAGCTTGCCTTGTAAAAGATGGTTTCCCCTCTCAGCTTTGCGGCGAACCCCAGGGCTGTGTCCTATGCGTCCAGCTGGTCAACGCTCCACGCGACATGTCCATTTGGTCCCAAGCACCGAAACACCTGACTGCACTGGTAAACAACACAAAATCAGAGTGAAATAATTATTTAGGAGGGTAACAATTATGGCTATATTTACATACAAATGCAGCTGAATAGATAACAGTAGCAATACAACAGTCATGATTTGTGCGATTGTCTATAAGGTCTGGAACTAAAGCCCCTCATGACATTCATGGATGTTTGCAGCTTTCTCACCTCAGGGACAACTTAAACGTCAATGAGCCACAGGGGAAGGGGGAAATATGTGTGCATTATATTTCCTTCCCCATTCCTCATGAAGGGCCATCCACGGAGGCACCCCCAAACAGAACTCTGCAGAATCCAAGGAGAGTTTTTGGGGAGAAGAAGAGAGAGTTCGTTACAAGGGTGGATCAGATTAGCAAACAGTACAACAGCAGCCAGATAGGCAGAGAATGTTACAGATCTGAGGCCTGGATAGAATCTGTCATAACACCTCCCGGTGGTTTATGTTTTCTGTCCACTGGGACAAATAACTGCGTCATTGATCTGTCATTGCACATGCTGTAAAAAAAAAAAAAAGAAAAAAAATAAGGCAGCGTGTAACGATGTCCTCTAAAGCGTTTGATTGCTTCCGATGACCTGCACCCAGCAACTCCGAGGGCTCATACATCAGGGAGCATATCATCAAGATCTGGAGGGAAAACCACACCACATGTGCTCATCTGTGTGGTAAACGGAGGCTCGAGGAAAGTTTCCCTCTCCACATCAAACTGTGAAACAAAGTTTCACATGCATTTGTCTCAAATAACCGCATTGTCAGAATGACGTATTCACATATGCCAAATATTGCGTTCTGTAATGGCAGGAGACCTTTTGGTTTGAGAGCTACAGGTTTTAAGGAACGGAGATGTCAATTTGACCTCCGTCCAAGCACTTAGGTTGAAGTGCTTGTGTGAACACTTATCTGTTGCACATTTTCCGAAAATTTGGCTGGTTTACGCAAACCGGGGTGTTTAAGGGGGCCTGTTAAATGAGCTAAACTGATTCGCAGGAGTTGCATGGCAAGTCTTTTGTACAAGCCAACTCTACAGACCTGCTGGGAGCCCAAATGTTACACCCACCCGCTGAGCTCTGTCTGGAAGAAAAAGTGTCTAACTGGTTTCTGTAGTGCAATATCAGCACTCGGGGAGTGGAACACTTCTCATTGGATTTGATTTTCAAAGGAATTTTTTATTACCCTGGTGAGACAGAAACAGACTGACGCTCTTTACGACAGTGGAATGCTGCAGATCCTTCTGTAGAACACCTAATGATATATTTGTTCATGTAAACGCAGCTAGATATTAGCAAATGTGCTGTTTAACAAAAACAGCATTCAAATATCCCAAAAATAAATCATATGTATAAATATTAGGTGACAAGGATGAAGTGAATAAGACTAGTTACATTTTTTTTAAAGCACAAATTGGATGGTTACTGTGTAATGGCTGTATGAGGTTATCTCAAAAGATGAATGTCCATTTCATAATGGATTTTGCCTCCGGGTCACACACGTAACGCTGACAGAAGGCCGTCAGCGTAATAAAACAGGCCGCCGCTATGCCCGTGATACCTGGAGGCTCAGGCAGACGGCAGCAGCTGCATTAGTCTAGCTGAAATCATATTAACAGCAGCTGCTCAAGGTTGAGCTCAGCTTTAAAGTCTGTAACAGGCTGCCGGCCCCTGAGCTAATGCAGTTTTACAGGTACAGGATTACCTCTTGGATGAAAAGGTATACGTTCTGTTCTCAAGCTGAAAAAGGGATCGTTTTCCTCTGCAAATGCAGTGTCGCTTTGCTACTTTATCGTCACGTTTGAGGGAAGCCCAAATACTGAATTCCACAAATTTCTCACATCAGAAATCCAATTATTATTATTTATATTTTTACAACACTCTGTTGTAATTAGTCTTAAACCTCCTTTGTTCTGAGAGCTGTACTCTCAGACAGAGTAGCCTTTTGTGTTCCTGTAATAAACTGATTTCAAGCCCCAATTTGTGCCCTAACAGAGTTGCTGATGAAGCAGGACCACCAGCTGCTGCAGGACTCGGGGCGGGCCAGAGAAAGATGCGGTGGTTAAAGATGAACGACACTTCGTCCTGGTAGGCTTGAATGACTGGATTAGATATAATTGTGAGCAGCGGTTAAGATGAATCAAACTGATGATCAGGTGAAGGTTAAAATTCTTTCCTAGTGGGTCTCCGTTCGTTTCCCCCCCTCCTCCTTCCTGCTCAGGTTATAATGCTGTCTGTATTTTGTTTTGATGCAGTTTAGCTGAGTCACGCTTGGCTTCCCCTTTAAGAATCTAATTAAGACATAATAAATTGTTAGTGTTTTTTTCTTCGAGTAGACAAAAGCAAAAATAAAATTCGAATATAAACAGATTTCACAAGAGTACTAGAAATAATCCTGCTAATTAGTGAACATATTAAATTCCATATCCTTTTAGCTCCTGTTCAGGAGTTTACAATCCAAGAGTTAAACACAGATTTAAAGTATTACAAGTGGAATATTAAAGTATATGGTTCCGCTGAAAGTGCAGACTCTCAAACCAGTGCAGTCCCAAAGCAACTTGCAAGTCTGAGATTGAAAAACATAAGTTTTATTTTCTCACTCAAGTTCTCTGCCCTTTACCGAGAGAGCTGTTCTTCCACAGTCCTCACAGGCTCTTGACTGAAGTCAAAGATCTGAAGCTGATCTAGCATAAACCTCCTTCCTTCTGCTTGCTCATCGATCCAGTTTCCAAGGTAGCATTTAAAGTATCCCTGCTTTTGTGACCAAATTAGATTGGGGTGGGAGGTGGGGTGTGCTTCCCGTTTCCCTGGCATCTACACAGCCATGTGAAAATCTGTGTTTGAGAGGTTATGATAAGCAACTAATTAAGGAGTTGTATAAATGGATACCACGCCACAGCACGAAGTAAAATTCTGACATTTCGTTAAACTCTTTACAAACATTTTATGAAGAACGTCCAATCAAAGCCAGCACATGCAAAGCTCAAACCAAACTGTGGTGGTCGACACAACCGTCAATGAATAACCATGCATACAGTAAGACTGGTTTTTTTTTTTTTTTTTTTTAGAACTATTAACTGTCCTGCATTCATTAAGAAACAGACTTAACAAAAAACAAGAAAGCAGATCTAGCCCATTCTCACCTGACACGAGCACATGGTGTTATTCCATGCTGCACAAGCCCTGGCAATGTTTGACTCCGGGGAGCAAAAACAGCTTTTTAAATGAGTGACAAAGTCAATAACGGAGGAGCAGAGGCGACGGAACAAATAGCCGAGCTTCAGCTTCTGGGTTGGACTCACTTCTGAGTTCAAAAGGGAAAAAAAAAAAAAAACACTCCAAAAGTAGACTCGGATGAGACTGTAGAGATAAAATACTTTCACCCAGGGACACACCGCCAGGGAAAAAAGAGAGATAACAAAACAAAAAAAAGAAATAACTTCTGAAGAAGAGAAAAATGGTATCAGAGACTAGCAAGGCTGGTGAACAGGTGGAGAAGGTGAACAGGTTGACGAGGGGGGGGGGGAGAGACAGGTGAATCCAATTAGGGAGGGGCAATCAGAGCAAGTGGAATGTGATGAGACACACATCAGCAGAAATCTTTCTAACTTAAAAGGGAAAAAATCTTGTTGGCATCTAGCTGAGATGTTACACTGCTTGTGGTTTTTTGGTAGCGGCGATCAGATTTATCTCTGTGAAAGCTGTTCAGGTTCCTTGTGTGTCCCCATTGTTTGTTCCTGTCACCTCAGTTTGGTTTCGATTTTGACATTTAAGTTAATGTATTTTTATCAAATGTGGCTTCCTCTGAGCAAACAGGTTTCAGAGGGGGCTTTTAAGGAATCTAAAAGAGTCTGCTAAAATCCAAAGCTGACCATCTTCA